TGTCCTGGATTAAGAACCTGCCATTTCACATCTTGGGACTGGTTCAACAAAGCAAGGCCTAAGCTTATCCAATTTGAAAAAGAAAAAATAAGGTAAAAATTGTGAATACAAAATCTGCATCACCAATGCCCCCCAATGTTAAGAGAATGTTAAGAAAAGCATAACACAGGGTAGAGTAGTAATACAGAAAGGGAAAATATTCATAACTAATTGAAGTTAAAAACATATTTTTAATAAAATTTTATAAAAACATATGACCATGAGAACACATTTTAGAGTCCCTACCTATGCTGGAGGCCCATGCAAGCCCAGAGTTTTTAATTTAAGCTTTATTTCAGCTTAAATTAAGTATATCTGGCTCCTTACCAAACCCTCAGTTCCTAAGGTTAGTAATTTCTAAGCCATCCATCCAATCATATTGCTGAAGATTAATTTTTCTAAAATGAAATTCTAAACACATTCCTTCACTACTTGAAAAACTTTCTTGCCAATAGTCTAATTGGCACAAATCCCTCCATGATACCACCTCCACCTACTTCTCCAACCTCATTCTCTGTTGTTCCAGACATGCTGCATTATTTACAGTTCCTCGTAATGTTATTTCAATCCTCCCGTACCTTAGCAGATGCTCTTTCCTCTAACTAAAATACATTTTCTTCTCTTTTCCAGCTAACAGATTTCTACTCATTTCTTCTATCTCAGCTTACCTGTTAAAGCCTTCCCAGACCTGAAAATAGAGTTGATAGCAAGCTCATTGGCTAACTTGCCTCCAGTACTGCACTTACCACCTGTTATAAGGACTCATTCATTGTGTATTTTCCCTGATAATTTAAAAGCTTATTCAGGGCAGAGATCTTATCCTAGCCATCTTTCCCCAGTGTCTGCATTAAGTAAGTACTTACTAATCCCTAGTTGAACAAATGAATGAAAAAGGAAGAGAAGCAAGTATGCCAAAAGGTAATTTTTGTTGCTTTTGGTTATTGATATGTTAGCGATTTTTTACCCTTATTTTAAAATGTTTTTGTTATGTGGCTCTATTTGCTTTATAATAGGAAATCTAATTTATAATAAAACATTTATTTGAGGCTTACTCTAATTTCCATTAGATCTGCTATATAATTCTCTTAAAACTCTGCACACCTGTGCCCAGCTTATTTATACGGCCAATAGTCTACTTTACTTGAAATCATATTTAGATCCCTGTACACAACTAGCTAAATAAATATCATTAGTGCAGCTTCATTAAAGTGTATTTTTCTTAAATATTTCTCAGTACACATATTTCTCAGTAAGTGAGCATCTATTAGAGTTTTGGCAAGAAAAATCCTATAATGGACTTATTTCTGTAGGTAGATATTTCAAGCACTAACTGAAAGGGATAATAATTTCTTTGCCATCTGGAATAAAACAGTGATGAATACTACAAGACTCCAATTATGTTCATATGCATGAAGCCATGTTTCTGAATCACTGTTATAATTCCTATCTCCCACCTAGGATGCACTAAAGAATTGTTTTTAAAAGGAAAATATCCCAAACAATCTAATAGTCCCCCTAAATATAATCTTCATTGAAGTTGAACATATTTTATTCTTTTTTAGGAAAGCTATCATTACCATGATCCAGTAAATGCCTACAGGGACTTTAGAGCACACATTCTACCCTTTTTCTCTTGTATGATTTAAATATGTTGTCTTATTACACATTGTTTAAATATGCTCTACGTGAAGCAGCCCACAGACACACGGCACATTTAGATATGGATACAGGTTAAAAGCACCGGAAATGCAAACCAGAGGCCATAGGAAAAATATCACCAAATTGGAATTGAGGCCATTTTAGCAGCTCCAGAACCATTTGAATCCTGGTAGAACCTAAACCCTCATTCAGGTATGCATTCAGTTTCTAGCCTATGGTATAATGTCCTTATATTGGACCTCTCCACAAACATGTTCCTGTTTCTCCTTTGTGTAAGGCATTATTCTGAGTTCGTGTGATGAGAGACCTTATAGCTAAGTATGGGCTTTTTTCCAGGATAGATCCATGCCTCAACCAGGCTGGTTTGCTTGTTTTAAGGAAAGACAGTATTCTCATTGCACAAGGCTGCATGCAAGATTCATCTGAGATGAAGTGTAGTACAGCAGGAAGAACACAAGCTTTAGAGTCACACAGTTATGGAGTCCCTGCACTAGCATTTCAAGGTCTGTGTGAAATTGAGGTCATTGAGCTTCTTTGAACCCTGGTGTTATGGGTTGAATTGTGCAACCCCCCCTCCCAAATTCATATGTTGAAGTCCTAACTCCCAGTATGTCAGAAGGTGACATTTGAAAATAAGGTCATTTCTATAATTAGTTAAGATAAGGTCATTAGTATGGGCCCTAATCCAATATGACTGGTGTCCTTATAAAAAGAAAAAAAGCAAATTTGGACATAGAGATAGACATTCATAGAATAAAGATGATGTGAAAAGACAGGGAGAAGATACCATCTACAAGCCAAGGAGAGGGAATAGATTCTTCCCTCACAGCCCTCAGAAAGAACTACCCCTGCCAACACCTTGATTTCAGACTTTGACCCTCCAGAATCACGACACAATAAATTTCTGTTGTTTAAGCCACCCCCTCTGTGGTACTTTGTTATGGCAGCCCTAGCAGACTAATACGTCTGGTTTCCTCAAATATCAAATATTTAATGTAAAGGATGTAGTGCCATTATAAAGATTAAAAACCACATTAGAGGTACTCAAAAGAGGGTAAGCAATATTTTTTTATCATTTAAGATATAATATTTAAAGTATTTTATTTCATATCCTTGAATCTTGCTTCTCTCTCCATTCAGGCAGCCAAATTGCTATACTCTGAACTCACAGCATTAGAAAATCATTGGCAGAGCAGGGGAAGTGTCAATTAAATTACTGGTTTTTGAGTTTCAAAAGCCTAAGACCCTCTGGGAAATTGTAATGACTCCCATGCATACAAAAGAGACCTAGAAGAGACTCTCCTATGTATTAACTAACCTTAGAGTAGATTTAGATCCCTCTGGGTGAAAAATAAGGTGGTCAAGACATATACAGACATTAGTGGATCCAGGTGCAATTTGGGATGGAGTGACTGCATCTTTACCTCACCCCCCACCACCTCAACTCATCCTAGTAGGGTTGGAATGACCAGTCATTAGATTGGAAGATTCAGCTGAGTTACCTCCATTGAACAGGTATGAAATTCCAAAGTAAAGGGCTTTTTTGCCAGATCAAAATCCAGATTTTAAAAGAAAATCACAAGACTGCTCAGATGGCCCTAAAACCAACAAGATAATGTAAAGGATCAAAACAATAGAAATTAGGAGAAGCTTTACGAAGAGATTCTTGGATTGAGCTGCTACTCTATGGTAAATCCCACCTCCCCCCAAGCAAGAAAGCTGGAAGGTACCACTTTTCTCTCCAAGTATTTACAGAGGCTTCAAAGGAACAAGTTAGACAGCCTGAATGTGTCCCCTAGAGTTTGGGAAACCCAATGGACTGCAGACTGATTCTCACCTTGGAAATCTGGAGGACAAGAGGGTCAGGCTAGGAGCAGCTCTGGAATCTGAGAAGTACCTGCACCCTTCCTGCCCATAGAGGTTCATAAGATTCATGTTTTCATGAAGCAGATGTGGGCCACGTATGAGAGAGCTGAAGCCCAAGATGACCATCTGGAAGTATCACTGATACCGTAGATGAGAGTGCATGTAGAATGGACTATGAAAACCAGAAGCTCCATTGGAAAGTGAATAGCTAGAGAAGAAGCCCTACTCAACTCAGGGGAGTTGAGCCAGATGGGTCCAGAAGGGAGCCAAATGAGTGTCAGTGGTTTTTTTTTGTTGTTTTTTTTTTTTTTTTGAGCATCAGTTTTAACCATCGCCAGGCCCAGAATGCATGGAGCCAGCTTAACACAGGACCATTTCAAGTAAGAAACATTCTTAAGCCATTTATTTCTTCTTCTTTCCCATGCTCCAACCACTTAAGGTTTAGCAATAGATAGCAAGTGGGAGAGGAGGTGACAGATAAAAAGAGAAAAAAAACCCACACCCTCTCCCAGTGCAATTTTTGGCCCAACCCAAAAATGGGCCCCAGATGGGGGAGAAGGGATGATGGATATTAAATTAACTTTCAAGCTATGATTATGGTCTGAGATTAGACATTCTAATTTCTGAATGAAGACTATGTTTGGAATCTAAAGTGCCAAAAAGAATTCTTTTTTTTTTTTTTAATCTAAGAGTAGTCCTATTAGGGATGGAGCCTGCCTGAGACCTATTTTTTTTTCCAAAGGCAAGGGAACTCCCACCACCCTTTCCCAATTCATTTTAAAAGAACAACAAGTAAAACAAATTATGTTTTGATTGATTTCCTAAGTTGTGCTTGTTCAAAGTACTGTTACAGAGAGAAACCCCAAATATGTGGGTGAGAGATAATGGTAGGAGGGAAAGGATCTTCTTTCTTGGATATAGCCTGGACCTTAGAGATGGCCAAGCAATATGTCCAGGAAGATGGACCTGACCAGGCTTGCAAAGGATCTCATACAGTAGCATGATACAAGAGCAACACAGGTATCATGTGCTTCAGAGTGGCATGAGAGAGCGAAGAATTTCATCCCACCACAGAGAGTTTCTTCTGGTTCAGCAGGAGTGACAGCATGCCCTGATATGCCCAGGACGTACCTGGAAAAGCTTGAAGAATGAGAGCAGAAGATCCTCAAAGGAAGATCAAGGTATGCCTCAGCAGTTGCCCACAAGTACTGACAAGGGATAGGAAGAAATCTGTGGCTAATGAAGAAATGGCAGCCAAAGAACAGGTATGTCATCCTCAAAAGCTTGGTATCTCACAACCTTACCTAGAACTTAGATGCAACCTCAGATTGCTTCCACATGGTTAAATGGAAGATCAAACCGTAATTTAGATTTAGCTATAGAAGAATAAAGAAAGTTACATGTCTTGCATACTTAGTGTGTAGACAGAGACATACCTGCCACATAAGGGTAAGTTTGTCCAAGACTTCTAAGGATCCTCTTGAAGTATGTCTTTACACTGCAGACTGATTAAAAAGCCTAGAAGAGAATTAGAGCTAAGTCATTTAGAGGCAGATTCACTTTGTAAAGAGGTCAACTCTCAAATTTTAGCTGTTGGGGAAATACCAGTGGATTGTAATAAACTGAGCATTTACTACTATAGAACCCATGAATTGCACCTAGACATCAGCAGAAAGAAAGAAAATACAAAAGAAAGATAATAGAGATCAGGTTCTTTGGTTTGTTTTTTTAATCAATGCACCAAATTCCAGAAGAACGCATAGAAAAGTGAAGGCGGGCGCCTGGGTGGCTCAGTCGTTAAGCGTCTGCCTTCGGCTCAGGTCATGATCCCAGGGTCATGATCCCAGGTCATGATCCCAGGGTCCTGGGATCGAGTCCCACATCGGGTGGGAATGTGGGACTCGGTGGGAAGACTGCTCTCCCTCTCCCACTCCCGCTGCTTGTGTTCCTGCTCTCGCTATCTCTGTCCCTGTCAAATAAATAAATAAAATCTAAAAAAAAAAAAAAAAAAAAAAAAACAGAAAGGAAAGTGAAGGCATAACAGGGAATTTAAGGTTCCCATCCCAGGAATGTGGAATTTTTTAAAGTATCAAATATGTTTTTACTGAAAGAAGAAAAATAAATCCAAATAAGGCATTAGATTGTGACAGGCGTGCTCCTTAGAGAAAGTATTCAAGGAAATCCTCTAATAAGGTGACATTTAAGCAGAGAACAGGATGAAGTAAGTAAACCAGAGGGAGAAGCTTTCCCAGCAGAGGGAATAGCAAGTACAAAGGCCCTGTGGTGAGAGCTTGCTAAGCAGGTCCAGGGACAGCAAAAAGGCCACTATGGCTGCAGCATGATATGCAAGGGAGAGAGAAGTAGGACATGAGTGAGGTTGGAAAGGGCCAGGAAAAGGCTTTGGATTTTAATCTAGGAGCCGGTAGAGGGCTGCCTTCTTTAATTAAACAATTTAGTTTGAGATAATTGTAGACTCACAGGCAGTTGTAAGAAACAGATTCCTGCACCTTTTGCTTCATTCCCCCCAGTGGTAACATCTTGCAAAACTTTAGTACAACACCAAAATCAAGATATTGACATTGATAGAGTCAAGACAGACATTTCCATTACCGTAAGAATCCCTCAGATTGTCTTTTTATAGCAATAACCATTTCCCTCCCATCCCACCTCCTCCATACACAGTGGAAATCACTAATTGACTTATAATTAGTATAATTTTGTCATTTCAAAAATATTATATAAGTGAAATCATATAGTCGACATAATTCTCTGGAGATTCATCCAGGTTGGAGTATCGATAGTTCTCTAATTTTTATTGCTGAGTAGTGTGTTCTACGGTACAGATCATTTAACCATTCACTCATTGAAGGACACTGTGCTGCTTCCAGTTTGAAGTTATTATGAACAAAGCTGTTGGAAGCATATGCATACAGGTTTTTATATGAACAAAAGTTTTCCTTTCTCTGGGATAAATGCCCAGGAGAGCAATTGCTGGTTTGTACTGGAGTATGTATGTTAAATTTTCTTTAAAAACCTGCCAAACTGTTTTGCAGAATGGTTGTGCCATTTTACATCCCCATCAGCAATACATGAGTGAGCCAGTTTCTGTGCATCCTTGCCAGCATTTGGTGTTGTCATTAGTTTTTATTTTAGCCATTCTGCTTTTCTCTAATGATTAGTGATGATTAGTGATGCTGAACATCTCTCATGTACTTATTTGCTATCTGTATATATCTTCTCCCATAAAATGTTTCTTCATGTCTTTGGACATTTTCTAATTGATTTTTTTACCTGTAGATTGAAAGATTATATTCCTAGTACTAGTTGTTTGTCAGATACATGGTTTGCAAATATGTTTTCCCAGTGTGTAGCTTGCCTTTTCATTCTCATTCATGGGTCTTACACAGAGGAAAAGTTCTTAAGTTTGACAAGATCCAACTTATCAACCTTTCCTTTTATGGATTGTGCTTGTGGTAGAAAGTCCAAAAATGCATTGCCTAACCCTAGATCCTAAAGACTTCCATTTTTTCCCTAAAAATTTTATAATTTTAGATTTTACACTTAATTTCATGATATATACTGAGTTACTTTTTATATAAGCTGTCAGACTTAGGCCAACGTTTTTTGTTTGTTTGTTTTGGGTTTTTTGCCTATGAATGTCCAATTGGCCTAACACCATTTGTTGAAAAGGCTGTATTTCCATTGAATTGATTTTGTACCTTTGTCAAAAATCCATTAAATATGTTTGTGTTAGTCAGTTTCTGGATTCCCCATCCTGTTCCATTAATATATGTGCCTATCTCTCTACCAAATTCACAGAGTCTTGATTACTATGGCTATATAATAAATCTAGAAATTAGGTGTGTTAATCCCTGTCACTTTATTTTTCTAATTCAAATTCATTATAGCTATTCTGATTCCTTTGCCTTTTCATATAAATTTTAGGATAATTTTGTTTACATGTACAAAAAAAATCTTGCTGAAAATTTGATAGGAATTATGTTAAATCTGTATGACAGTTTGGGGGAACTGACATCTTTGTATTGGTGAGTCTTCCAGTCCATGAACATGGTATCTATTTTTAGATATTCCTGGATTTTAACATAAAAGTCATGTACATGTTTTGTTCGATTTATACCTAAGTATTTAATTTCTTTAGTAACTGTAAATGGCATTGTATTTTTAATTTTGGTGTCCAGGTGTTCACTGCTATTGTAAAAGAATATAATTGATTTCTGTATGTTTATCTTGTATCCCACTACTTGGATGAACTCACTTATTAGATTGACAAGTGTGTTTTTTAAGTTCCTTGGGATTTTCTACATAAACAAAAATGTCACCTGAAAATAGGGACAGTTTTATTTCTTCCTTTCTGATCTCTATGCTTTTAATTTCCTTTTTTTTTTTTTCCTTTTGCACTGGCTAGAAATTCTAGCACTATATTAAATAAGAGTGGTGAGTACACACATTCTTGACCTACTTCCTGATCTAAGGGGAAAGAATTCAGTCTTTCATCATTAAAGGTAATGTTAGTTGTAGACTGTTATGCATTTTTTAATATATGTTTATATATCAATTTGAGGAAGTTCCTGGTTCCTATTTATCTGAGAGTTTTTATCATGAATGGGTGTTAAATTTTGTCAAAAGCTTTTTCTATAGGGTGCCTGGGTGGCTCAGTTGGTTAAGCGACTGCCTTCGGCTCAGGTCATGATCCTGGAGTCCCGGGATCGAGTCCCGCATCGGGCTCCCTGCTCAGCAGGGAGTCTGCTTCTCCCTCTGACCCTCCTCCTTCTCATGCTCTCTGTCTCTCATTCTCTCTCTCTCAAATAAATAAAATCTTTAAAAAAAAAAAAAAAGCTTTTTCTATATGAATTGATAGAATCATGTGACATTTCTTCTTTAGCCTGTTACATGGTGAATCACGCTAATAGTTTTTCAAGTACCGAACCAGCCTTGCATCCCTAGAATAAACCCCATTGATCATGGGATATATGTCATTTTATATGAATTCTATTTGCTAATGTTTTGTTAAGGATTTTTGTGTTTGTGTTCATGAGGGATATTTGTGTCTGGTTTTCTTTTCTTTCTTTCTTTCTTTCTTTTTTTTTTTTTTTGTGTGTGTGTGTGTGTGTGTACTGTCTTTGTTGGGTTTTGGTATCTGGATAACACTACCATAAAATAAATGGTTTTCTGGAAGAGATTGTGTAGAATTGGTGTTACTTCTCTAAGTGTCTGTTAGAACTTGCTAGTGAACCCATCTGGGACCAGATTTTCCTCTTTGGAAGCTTAAAAATTTTTTGTTCAATGTCCCTATTAATTATAGGGATATTCAAATAATCTATTTAATATTAGGTAAATTGTGGTAGTTTGTGCTTTCTAAGAAACTGGTTCATTTCATCTAAGTTGGCAAATGTATGTGTATAGAGCTGTTTGTTATATCCCCAGATTATCCTTTCAATGTCTGCAGGGTCTGCAGTGATCACTCTTTTTCATTCCTGATATTGGTAATTTGTGTCTTTTCTCTTTATTCTTTGTTAGTCTTGCAGAGGCTTGTCAATTTCATCAATTTTCAAATGGCCATATTTTTTTCATTGATTGTTTTTCTGCTTTCAATTTTATTGGCATTTGTTCTTAACATTATTATTTCCTTTCTTCTGCTTTCTTTGGGTATATTCAGCTCTCCTTTTTATAGGTTCTTGAAATGGGAGGTTAGATTACTGATTTTTCCTTTTTTCTAATGTATATATTTAGTGCTATGAGTCCTCTTAGCACTTCTTTATCTGTGACCCACAAATTTTGATGTTGTATTTTTATTTTCATTCAGTTCAATGTATTTTTTATATCTTTTGAGACTGCCTTTGTGACCCATTGATTATTATTTATAATTCAGTATGTTGCTGAATTTCTAAGTGCTCAGAGATTTTCATGTTATCTTTCTATTATTCACTTCTAATTTGATTCCATGCTGGTCAAATAATACATTCCATAAGACTTTAATTCTTTTTAAATGTGTTGAGATTTGTTTTCTGATCCAGGATATAGTCTCTCTTGGTATATGTTCCATAGTCGCATGACAAGACTATGGGTGCTGCTGCTGATGGGTGGAATTCTGTGAATATCAATTAGAGCCTATTGGTTACTGATGTTGAGTTTTCTATATCCTTGTTGATTTTCTGTATAGTTTTCTATCAATTGATAATGCAGGGTGTTGAAATCTTCAACTATATTTGTGAATTTGTCTATTTCTCTTTTCAAACCTGTCAATTTTTGCTTCATGTATTTTGCAGTTCAGTAATTTAGTGCATACACATTTAGGATTGCCATGTCTTTTTGATGGAACAACTCTTTAATCATTATAATAATAGCCCCCTCTATCACTGGTAATTTTTTCTTTTGCTCTCAAGTCTACTGTATCTGATATTAATATAGCAACTCCTGCCTTTTTAATTTATGTCTTCATTATACATCTTTATCTATCCTTTTACTTTCAACCTGTCTATATCATTGTATTTGAAGAG